GATCCTCTTGTCTCTACCTTTAAGGGTTGGATTAGCGCAAAACACACCAGCTGAACGGGCCTGGTTATATGATCTAAAATGAGTTAAGTGCCTCTATGGGGGGCACCAAACCAAAAACACACCCCCGCTCTCTCAAGTCCTGGCTATCCTGGTCCCCCCTCCCTCTCTCTCTCTCCCCCTCTCCATATATATAGATAGATAGATAGATAGATAGATAGATAGATAGATAGATAGATAGATAGATAGATATAGATAGTTGTTTTTGAAACTCAGAAGGATCCCCAGCCTTTGTCTCCCAAGTGCTGGGACTAATGGTGTGTCCTAGCACATCTGGTATATATTGCACCTTTATTGAGGTGATTTGAGAATGAGCTACACATAAAGATTGAAAAGACGGTGGTGCCAAAACCTACCTTTACTACATTTACCACTGGTGGTGGTTTCAGGAAATGAAAGATTCTTTACTATCATCCTATACTGAGAACTTGTCTATTTAGAGTTCCAGATCCACAAGCAGAAGAATTTGCCTACATTCTGAGACAAAAAAAATAAAGTTTTTTTTTAATTGCTGTATATTATTTCTGTAAAATAATGAAGGATATCTACCCCCTGTTGACTTTTTGAGACAAGATCTCACTGTTTAGCCCTGGTTGGCTTGGAATTAGTTATGTAAACCATACTTTTCTCCAACTCTTGTCAATCCTTCAAGGTCTCAGTGTTTCAAATGTTGGGACTACAGATATATACAATCACATTCAATTTAAAATAATAGCTTTCATCTCTGAGGTAGGTTTCTTCAGTCCTAGCCTCCAGCTCTCTGGAAGAAGTAGCTAAATGCTAGAATTACTGGGAAATCAATCCCCAACGAGTCTTGAATGTCAGGAGCATCTTTGGTACCTCTTTTGAAAGTTTTAATGTGTCTATGTGGATGCTGAGATGACCTGGAATAGCAGATTTCCACCTGTGGGTTGCAACTCCTTTTGGGGGGGGTCACATATCAGATGCTTACATTACGGTTTATAATAGTAGCAAAGTTATAGTTATAAAGTAGCAATGAAAATTATTTTATGGCTGGGGGTCAACCACAACTTGAGGAACTGTATTAAAGGGATGCAGCATAAGGAAGGCTGAGAACCACTGTCTAGAAGATTATTACATTTGACTCTATTTATTCTAGGCCAAGGCTGCTGGTGATGATGAAGCAATGTTCATAGATGAGAACTTCTGTACTGCCCTGGAATATGGGCTGCCCCCAACAGCTGGCTGGGGCATGGGTATTGATCGAGTCACCATGTTTCTAACAGATTCTAACAATATCAAGGTATGCGTAGACTTCCCAGTACTCCACTGCACTGGAGGCAGAGCATGGAGGGCCTGGGAAATAAACTAATAGTTTGCTTTTCTTTAATATCCAGGGAAATAATAAGTCCTTTCAAATGTATTGCCTCATACCAGTCAGTTCTGGCTTTTTGGGTTGTTTTTGTGGTTTTTCAAGACAGGGTTTCTCTGTATTGGAGCCTGTCCTAGAACTAACTCTGTAGACCAGGCTGGCCTTGAACTCACGGAGATCCACCTGCCTCTGCCTCCCAAGTGCTGGGACTAAAGGCATGTGCCTCCAATGCCCTGCTATCAGTCAGTTCTGTAACATGTGAAAAACTTGTGCTACTATACCAAACTTATGATGCCTCTTTATTTCAAAGTATGTTTTGCTCTTCTATAGGAAGTACTTCTGTTTCCTGCCATGAAGCCTGAAGACAAGAAGGAAACTGCAGCAGCCACTGAAACGCTAGAAAGCACAACAGCCGGCCCCTCTGTCTAGGAGATAATGAAACTCAGGCTTCTCTGCATTGCAGCAGAGAGTCTGGCCTAAGGGGTTCATGTGTGTTGCCGACCATCTGGCCACTGCAGTCCAACCACAGAAGAGAGAAGAATTAAAGAAATTCTTTTTATTCCTTATTACCAAATAAACCATTTCTCTCTTTACCTATGTAATGTTACTTTCTCCTCCCCCCCCAAACTGCTGGTCTAATGAATGTTTAAAACTCTGTTTTTATAAATTTGTTTTGTTTTGATCAGTTCATTTTGGTTTTTTGAGACAGCATTTCTCTGTGTAAGAACTCTGGCTGTCTTGGAACTGGCTTTGTAGACCAGGCTGGCCATGAACTCACAGATCCATCCACCTGCCTCTGCCTTCTGAGTGCTGGGATTAAAGGCCTTCACCCCACTGCCCAGCTTGTAATTTATTTTTTAAGATTTATTCTTATTTTTAATTATGTGTGTGTGTGCATTATATTATAGTGCACTCAGGTGCCCTCTGAGGCCAGAGATGTTGGATCCCCTGGAGCTGGAGTTTCATGCATTTGTAAGCTGCCCAACATGGATGCTGAGAACCAAAGCCCAGTTCTGCAAGAGCAAGATGTGCTCTAAATGCTGAGCCAACTCTCTGCCCATCTGCAGTTGTAGTCTTTGAACAAATTTATATTGTCAGTTCAATACTAGGCATTGTTCTGAAATATTGGAAATAGCAAACAAAAAGCAAATCACTACTTCCGTGAAAATTACTTTCATTTAGGGCTTGAGAGGGAAGTTGAGGGGGGAACAAGACAAGGTCAAGTACATGTTCTTTTTTGTTGGAGGCAAACACCAAGAAAAGCAGGAAGTAAGAGGACTGCGGTGCTATTTTACACAATAGACAAAGGTCAAGATATGTATTCATGTATGCATATAGGGTAACAAGGGATGTTACCCCTGAAGAGGAATGTGAGCCATGTCAGTCATACAGGATTTGTTATGAGTGAGGTGGGAAGTGGTCAGAGAATCTGATCATAGTCCTGTTCAAAAATCTGAGGTAAGTCGGATTTTGAAACCTTAACCTCCCTGCAGTCAGGCTTTCCTCCTCTCTTCTGCACATCTTGACTTGGCCCATTCCCACCAAAGGACTACAAAGACCAGCACGCTTCGCGGGCGGAGTTTGAGCAAAGCCGTCGTTTAGCGTCACTTCCGCTGCGCAACCAGGTTCCGTGCGGTGTGTGGCGGTAGCGGGTGGGGAGTGTTGAGGCAGCGGTGCAGAGCGTGGGCTGTGGCACGTGGGTAACGGGGTCTCGGGGCCAGGTCTACACAGCTGGCCTTGTGTGGGAAGAAGCTGAGGACACGCGTCCTCTGCTCCCGCGGGGAGGGGTCTGTCTCACGGTCCTGCTAGGCGCTCCTGTCCCGCGGAGCTCCACCTCCGGGGTAGGAAGAGTGGGAAAAGAAATGGGTTTTTCAGATTTTTTTGCGACTATTTGTGGTCAAAGAAATGCCTGTTTGAGTTGCTTCGTGTGAAGGAATTTTTCAAGGTCTTTTAATGGGAGTCGTAGACAAGAATTACAGCGGACTCAGAATATCGAAACATTCAGCAACCGCGTGCGTGGTCCTTTAGTCGTTTGCCTTGATGACATGATGTAGTTTGAGCTACTCCCTCCCCCTTGGCTTTTATAGTTTGTAATATATACCTCCAATTTAATTGAAGGTTGATGGCAGGTAAACGTCTGTGCTGCCTTCCAGGAACTAAGGATTCTAGGATCTCCCGTGTTTATGTTCCTAGAAATACAAGACTTTCCAGCCCTTGTGAGACATGGGCAGGCAGATCTCTATGAGTTGAAGGCCAGCCTGGTCTGCAGAGTGAGTTACAGGTCAGCCAAGGCTGTTATGCAGGGAAACCCTGTCTCGAAAAACCAAGAGAAAGAAAACTACAAGACTTTTTAACTATCAGTCTCTGCCAAAATATTTATTACCATTTCCTGCAAAAAAAAAAAAAAAAATGGGCCTGTAATTTGCAGAAATTGTAGAAATACCTTGCAGAAACATCACATCTGAGCTCAGTAAAAATGCTCTATTTTTATGCTACAAATGCTCTGCTGTGTCTATGTATCATATGAGCTCATATAATCAGGTGAAGTAAAGATATATCCAGTGAGCACTAACAGCCAAGAGTGGGAGACTTTCTGCAAACCATCTCAGGCCTCTTTCAGATCTGATCTACATAACGTTTTGTTTGTATATAAGTGGCTTTGTGTGTGTGCCCTTTACAATCCTTTCTCCCCCACCAACTCAAATTTCCCAGATCACCACATGATGTATTTTGTGGTTTATCACACTCAACATAGTTAAAGACATTTGCTTTTGTAAGTATTTATAAAGTATGTTAATTACTAGCCAGGTGGTAATGACACACACCTTTAATCCCAGCACTGGGGGGTTGGGGGGGGGTGCAGAGGCAGGTAAATCTCTGTGAGTTTGAAGTCAGCCTAGTCTACAGAGCTAGTTCCAGGACAACCAGGGCTGTTACACGGAGAAACCCTATTTTAAAAAATCAAAAAGAAAAATGTTAAGTCCTACTTATCATCCATGTTTTTTGTGGGTCTTGTTTTTGTTTTTCCAGACAAGAGTTTCTCTGTGTAGCGTTGGCTGCCCTTGAACTCACTCTGTAGACCAGGCTGGCCTTGAACTAAAAGATCTGGCTGCCTCTGCCTCCTGAATCCTGGGCTTAAAGGCATGCACCACCACTGCCCAGCTATTATTCATGTTTTAACAGATGTGAAAATTAATCTACCCAATAATCACACAGTTGATCTGGTAAAGCTGTAATTAAAACCTAGAAAGCACAACTCCATGCCCACACCCTTAAGTACAACTGTCGTGAAAACATCCAGTGAGAGGCTTTGAAAATTTGCTAGAGTGAGGTAGACTGACTTCTGTTGGAGAAAAAGGAGGGGAAAAAAAAAAACCATTGCCCAGAAAGTAACTGTAAGATTAAGATCTGCATTTGAAAGGACAGTATAAAACAACTTTAATCTCAAAGCAATAGCATGTCTTGTGGGAGTTGTGGCTCTCCCTTTATTAAGGATGAGAGGGAAGGGAGGTTGGTAGGAAAATATGAGCCTTAGTCTGAGCACTCTTCGGCTACATTTGAGACTGCTGAAGCACTCGAGTGAGGCTCTGTGTCTTATACTGCTTTTCCTTTCTATTCTGATAGTTTCCAGTTCCAACTATGTGGACAGCAGATGAGATTGCTCAACTGTGCTATGCACACTATAGTGTCAAACTGCCCAAGCAGGGGAAGCCTGAGCCAAACCGTGAATGGACTTTGTTGGCAGCCGTGGTGAAGATACAGTCTCCAGCTTGTGACACCACTGATAAGGAAGTGCCAGGTGAGACCTTTTATCCCTGTAGCAACAATGCTGGGCTGGAGACGAACTATGGCGTTAGGTGTTCGTTCCCCCCATTATCTCCACCGGGTGGTGCACTGCTCCCGGTGGTGGCAAACCACCTCAAGGGAACTGCACTCCTGGTTGAGTCCACCTGTGGGAGTCCTCTGGAGAAAGGAGAGCTGTGGACTTACTAAACCTAAACAGTAGGAAGCGTTCAGCCTTTGAGAGTTCACTTAATGATTTGTTTTTTCCCTTTCAGTAACAAAGGAAGTTGTCTCAATGGGAACAGGAACAAAATGTATAGGCCAGTCCAAGATGAGGAAGAGCGGTAAGCAGGGAGGGGCTCTCAACAATTATCTCTGTGGGTATGTCCATGCTGACCTCTGGTCTCCTTGTCGAGGAAACGGGGCCATACTGGTTGGAGTGGCTGGCCCCTCAGGCCCTACTGATCGTCCTGCCGATTGGAAGACTGTCCGTTTTTAAAATGAAAGTTCAGAACCGAACTTGGTGGTGCATGCCTGTAATCCTGACACACTCCAGAGGCTGTGGCAAGAAGTTCAACGATAGCACAGGAGACAGAGACAGACAGACAGAGAGGGAGAGAAGAAATCCAAATCAGCAAAAATAGAGGGAACATGCTTCTGACAGTCAGTGAATATTTTCATGTTTAAACCAAAGGTTCTCTGAGTTTAGTTGTCCCACATTATACCTGGAGGATTTACGACTTAGTAGCAGGTAGGAAGCAGCCTGAGTGGTTTCTGAAGCCCCACAAAGCAATCTTGGATTAAATAAACCTTTGGCATCAACAAGAATGTGGAAGCCCCTTCCATTCTCCATGCTATGTCTCCTATATATGAGGGAACTGTCTCAGAAGGACACATGAGGGAAATGTGTCACCGTGAACATGAATACAGTACCATGGTATAAGATATCTCCATCCCTGATTTGCAGATGGAGGATTTCTGTAGCCAGGTGGCACAAGCCTGTAATCCCTGCAGCTACAGATAGCGTTGAAGAGCTTAACCAGCTTGGTGACTCCCCATGTCAGGGTTGGTGGCTCATGTTTTTTAATCCCAGCACTCAGGGGACAGAGGCAGGTGGATCTCTGTGGGTTCAAGGCCAGCCTTGTCTGCAGAACTAGTTCCAGGACAGCCAGGGTTATACAAAGAAAGCCTGCCTCAATAAATAAATACATAGTCAGAGTTGGTGGTACTTGCCTTCAAACCCAGCATTCTGGAGACAGAGATTGGTGGATCTCTGCAGAGTTCTGATGAGCCCAGGCAAGTCAGAGCTTCATGGGGAGACCCTGAGTGTCACCACTGAGTTTGATTCCCAGGACCCACATGGTAAAAAGAGAAAACTAACTGCTTTGAATTGTCCTTTGACCTCTATCCACATGCATATTGTGTCACATGTGCAAACAACATGGCACATATATACAAATTAAATAAATGAAAATGTAATAAGATAACCTTTTTAAAAAATTGAAATCTTGTGATGTAGCTCAGGGGCAGTGCACTTGCCTAGCTGCATAATGTACTTGATTCAATCCCCAATCACTTAAACAGTTGTCTCTATAAATTTCAGCTAGAGATATTTTTTATTTTGTTTGGTCTATTTGTTTTTGTTTTTTTTTTGTTTGTTTTTTTTTTTTTTGTTTTTTTTTTTTTTTTTTTTTTTTTTTTTTTTTTTTTTTGAAGATATGTAGCTCAGGTTTATCTAGAACTTGCTATGTTGTTCAGATTGGCCTCAAACTCATGGTATCCCTGCCTAAGCCAGGGACTACAGAGACTACAGGCACTACCATGGACTCAGCAACCAATAGCAGTTTTGTACCCAAGGTACCTTTGGCATTGTCCAGAAGTATTTTTAGTCATCACCACATGGGATGGGGTATTCTTTGCATCCTCTGGATAAAGGATCCTGTACAAGGTCTCTCTATGTAGTATGTGTGTGTGGAGTGTTTGAGAATTTGAGACAGGATCTTTCTATGTAGCTCTGGCTGACCTGGAACACATTGTGTAGACCACTCTGGCCTTGAACTCACAGATATCCACTAGCCTATGCCTCCTGAGTGTTGGGATTAAAGACATGTGCCACCACTTGTTATATGTGCTTTTCCCATAATACAAAGAATTTTATGGTCCCAAATGTTCAGAGACTCAAGCTGCAAGGACATTCATTACCACTAATGTCTTTCTCACCAAACCCTCCAGTAAGTAGCATGGCCATCCTGAGTGCCAGCCTCTCTAGTTCCCAGTCATCATTTACTCTGTATCTCCTGTCTTTGCCACAGGAGACATCCTCAATGACAGCCACGCTGAGATCATAGCCAGAAGGAGCTTCCAGAGGTAAAGACATAACTCCCAAAGAGTCTTGGTTGAACATGTTTGGGGGATGGGGTTTGATTTCTAATAAGCTCAAAGCTAATCTAGACTGTGTCATTCTGAACTACCGGAGTCCAGATTAGTGGCTCTTGAGTATACCTCAGAAGCACCTGTCAAAACCCAGGTTTCTTGTCAGGTGTGGTGGCACACGCCTTTTCTCTCAGCACCAAGGAGGCAGAGGCAGGTGGATCTCTGTGAGCTTGAGACCAGCCTGGTCTACACAGCAAGTTCCAGGACGGCCAATGCATTTACACAGAGAAATCCTGTCTTGACAAAAAACAAAACAAAAAAACCCAGGTTTCTGAGGGCAGGGTGTAAGCTCTTGCTTAGCACATCAGGCCTCCAGATTCAAAGCCCAGCACAGGGGTGGGAGTGAACAAGATGACTGGACCTGCCTCCTGAGATTCTAATTTCAGTGGGTCCAGGTGAAGCCTGAGATCTTCCTGACCTTTACAACAGGACTCATTTCTGTCATCATGATGCCAGTCTTGTCATTCCACTGTAATTCTTTCCTGTAATCACCCAGCCAGAGAGCTCTCTTTACCACAGAAATTTGTGTATTCTTTTCCCTCCATTTAACTAATTTGATGGTGTTGGAAGTAAGCCAAAGGTGTTGCATATTAGGCCCACAGGGTGTATGTAAAGTAACCGGAGCTACTTCTGTTCTCTTGCAACCCTCAGATACCTTCTCTATCAGCTCCATTTGGCAGCCGTGCTGAAAGAGGATAGTATCTTTGTGCCAGGAACTCAAAGAGGACTGTGGAAGCTCAGACCTGACCTGTCTTTTGTGTTTTTCTCTAGCCACACACCCTGTAAGTATAGTCAAGCCTTAGGAGTAATGTTGCATTGACTGCTTTCTTATGCTTATCTTTTTTTTTTTTTTTTTTAGGATTTATTTATTTATCATGTACACATTGTTCTTCCTACATGTATGTCTGCAGGACAGAAGAGGGCAGCAGATCTTATTGTAGGTGGTTGTGAGCCACCATGTGATTACTGGGAATTTGAACTCAGAACCTTTGGAAGAGTAAGCAGTGCTCTTGGCCTCTGAGTTCTCTCCAGCCCTCTTATGCTTATCTTGCTCATAGAGATATTTCTTCAAAAAACTTCTGGCTGAATATAGCTGTAACTAATGCTTGTGATTATATATATAATCACATTTCTCCTGGGGGAGAGCAGAAGGCAGATAGAGGGAGGTGTGGAGTCTCATACTGTTAGTTCTCAAAGTCAAGATTGGGCAGCTTCAGGTTTAACCCCTACAAAGTACAATGTAGTTAATGGGGCTCAAAAGCCCAAAGTCTTACTACAATAACTTATCCTAAAGCCCATTTCATTCATTGATTTATTCATTGAAGACAGAGTTTTTTTTTCTAATTTATATATTTAGAGAGAGAGACTGTGTGCATGTACATATCTGTGTTATATCTGTGGAGGTCAGAGGATGACTTGCAGTTAGCCCTCTGCTTCCGCTAGGTGGGGTCTAAAGGTGGAGCTCATCAGGCTCGGCAGCAAGCATCGTTACATACTGAACCATCTCACTAGCCTGTGAGACAGGTTTTGCTAAGTTGTCCTGGCTGGCCTTGAACATAATATGTAGCCCATGTTGGCCTTGAGCTTCAGCAGACTTCCCGCCTCAGTCTCCCAAGTGCTGGCAATGCAGGCATGCTCTACACACGCCAGAGATTTTTCGTTTTTTAAGATGGTCCTGCTGTTAGTCCATCTTGCCTTGAACTCTCAAGGCTGCAGGGCTGTGCCACCGTGCCTGTCATGACCAGGTATTTATTACTCAGGCACAATGGAGCATACCAAGTATAAGCAGTGAATAAGGAGCTGGGGAGAGAGCTCGGTGGTAATGCGCTTGCTTAAGGTGAGTAAAGACCTGGACAATATATCCAGGGTGCCAGCCTGCTAACCAATGACACAGACCAGGAGGCTCGGGGATGTGCTCATCTGTGAACATCTGCAAAGCAAGAAGAATCAAGACTATGTAGTATAGCCTTAAAAAGTAAAAGTTGACGGAGGTTTTGTTTTTTTGTTTTGTTTTATTTTTAAGTGAGAGTATGATGGTTTAAGGAAGAGTAGAGGTCATTAATGAGAGATAGATGACTGCTTGGATGTAAGAGAGATTTAGGAGGACAGCGGCTCAGACTTCATGATTGGGAAGGAGGAGGAGGCAAAGATGACTTCTAGGTTTCACCTCAGGGCTTGGAAGAATGATGACACTGCTGAGAAGCGGGAGAAAGAATAGCTGTGCGGTGGGTGGAGGCTCTTCCTTTGTTAATGGTGGCAGTTGACTTTGTTCATGAGTAATCTTCTACAGTGTGGTGCCCATACCCCAACCCCACCAGTGGTTTATCTGTAGGAAGGCTCTCTTGACATTTACTTTTTATTACTAATTAATAATTTGGTGTCTTGGTTAGCTACTTTAGATTCTTACTTTTGTGTTTTATTAATGTGAGTCAGCCTCTTGTATTCAGGCATTCTGTTGAGAGCACATCTCTGAGCCTACAAAGTAGGAGGTGGACCTCAGTGAATTCTGCAAAGTTGCTGTCACTTTGTAAGGTCTCTGGAAGTCAGCCAGGCAGCCTCTCCTGTGACATTTCTCCTTCTGTATCTCCCTTGCCTTTTCCACTCTGGTTATAAAGACCAAAAGTATATTCTTTCCACACTGAAAAAGCAACACACATTGTGTTGGTGCTTGAAGAAATAGCTCCCTTCTCAAGGGAGTGCTGGGCTTTCCCTGACCTCGGGTTTCCTTTGGTTCCCATCGGCACAGAAGAGGTCAGACATCTGTAAACCAGCAATGGGAAGCACAGGAGGTTTTGGAAACACTGGTGTAAACTGAACTTTGCAGGTGTGTGTTTGTTTGTTTGTGGGTTTTTACTGTGAGAACATACATCATAAAACCCCTAAGATGATTTTGAAGAATGTTTGTCAAATTTACTAAACCATGAAATAAGCTACTACTGTTTTCCAAGGCATCTTATAGCATACCAGTCCATAAAATGCCCTTGGGAAAATTTTTTCATTGCAAATCAGTAGTTCACAGGCTGGGGGGATGTAGCTCAAGGTAGAGTGCTTGCCCATTATGTGTAAGATTTGGTTGTGATCTCCAGCCTCACAAAACAAGTCTTTGCCCAAGGTAGGAGAGGTGGCTCAGTGGTTATGGCTCTTCTAGAGAGCATCGGAGTTCAGTTCCCAGCACCCATGTTAGGCAGCTCAAAATTGCTTGTAAGTCCCATTTCTTGGGATCCAAGACCCTCCCTCTTCTGGCCTCTGTAGGCACCTGCACACATGTGAATGCGAGACAAACACATTTATTTACTTATTTATTTTCCCAGACAGGGGTTCCCTGTGACTTTGGAGCCTGTCCTGGAACTAGCTCTTGTAGTCCAGGCTGGTCTCAAACTCACAGAGATCCACCTGCCTCTGCCTCCTGAGAGCTGGGATTAAAAGCGTGTGCCACCACCGCCTGGGACACTGATTTTTTTTTTTAATGCCTTTTTTTTTTTTTTTTTTTTTTTTTTTTAAAGACTTCCCTTAAAACTGTAGTTCTTAGCTGAGGACAGTTTTTTTTTACTCCAACTCCCATGTGTTATAATTACATGTGTGTGCAACCAGACTGGCTCTGGAAACACTTGTTGTTCTTTGACCTCCACACATGTGCAGAGGCTATCATGGTGGCTATCATATAGGATCACCTCCATGGCAATAATTACTTGACTCACAGTTGAATTGTACCTAGGCATGGTGACACACTTGTGATTCCTGGTCTTAAGAGGCAGAGGCAGGAGGTTCAGGAATCTGAGGCCATCCTCACCTAATAGGGAGTTTGAATCCAATCTGAGTAATAGGAGGTTTTGTCTCAAAAGAGAAAACAAACAAAAATTTCATGAGTGTGGAGATTCGGAAACCCTGATCTAAAGCAGTATTTGCGGTAGAAATTACTCGAGACCTTTGTTTAAATATTCAGTTTTCCTTATTTCTCTCATCAAAAAGTTTTAACTCTAGGAAAGGGGTTTCATCAAGACCTCAATGGGTTTTGTTTTTTTGTTTGTTTTTTGTTTGGGGGGGTTGTATTGTTTTGTTTTGTTTTTCAAGACAGGATTTTTCTGTGTAGCCTTGGCTTTCCTACAACTCCCTCTGTAGATCAAGCCTTGGCTTTCCTACAACTCCCTCTGTAGATCAAGCTGACCTCAAAACTCACAGAGATCTGCCTGCCTCTGCCTCCCAAGTGCTGTGATTAAAGGCATGTACCACCACTGCCTGGCTGAACTCAGCAATTTTTATGAGAACTTTAGTACGTGCATGGGATTTTGTTTGTTTATATATACATATCTAATTTTTAAAGATTTATTTACTTATTGTTATGTGAATATGTGTGTGCTTATTTGAGTTTATGTGTACCACTTCAATACAATTGCCAGAGGAGACCACGCGGTGTCAGATCCCCTGAAACTAGAATTATAGGAGGTTATAAACCACCTAATATGGGTGCTTCGAACAGAACCTGGGCCCATGGGAGAATAGCAAATGCTCCTAACCACTGAGCCATCTCTCCAGCTCTAACATTAATTTAGTATTGAAGAAAGAAGTGTCTGTGGATGTCTCATGTGTAAAGTGCTTGCTATACAAGCATTCAACCTGAGTTTTGAGTTCCTAGAACTCTCATAAAGTCAGACACACTAGCACACATCTGTAATCTTAGCACTTATGACAAAATGGATTGCTGGCATATGCAGCATGGAACAAGATTTCAGGTCACACAAAGAGGAAGGTGAGTACCAACACCTGCAGTTGTCCTTTGACCTTCACACATGTACCACAGTATGTACATCCCTCTGTGTGTGTGTGTGTGTGTGTGTGTGTTGATTTTGTATTTATTTGTTTTTTACAGGGTTTACAGGGAACCAAAGGGGCTTTATCTCATTAACCCTGGACTTGGCTTTACCACTAGTTTATCACAATCTTGGCTCTTTTTTTTTCCCTAAAGAAATAATTAAGAAAGTATAAGTCTCAGGTTTAGTAAATGACCACACTAAATCAGCCTTCTGGGCCCCCCCTTCTGAGTTTTTGTTTTTCCTTTTTTTTTTTTGCCCTAATTTTTTTTTTAAAAAAACACACACACACAAACACACACACAGTGTTAAAGATTGAACTCAGGAAGTCCTGCATGCTATGCAATCACTCTACCACTGAGCTATTTCTCCAGCCTCGAAATTTGCATTTCTAATTCCCAAGGGGAGGCTCATGAGAAGTACTGGTTAAAGTGTTCCTTCTCATGCAGGTGGGGATGCCTCCATCATTCCAATGCTTGAGTTTGAAGAACAACCTTGCTGTCTTGTCATTAGAAATTGGGCCAACAGCTCACCTGTAGAAAAGAGTGATAATCTAGAGGATTCCAAAAATAAAAGGGATTGTGAAGACCCTGGCAGTTCCGTAGCCAAGAAGATGAGGCTTGAAACCCCTGCCGTGCCACTGTCCAACTCCGTAACTCACCATGGGATGCAGGAAAGTGGTACAATGAAACCAGATGTCAGCAGCTCCCATCTCATCAAGGAGGAACTGGACACTGCCAATGGAATAGCTCCAGGTATCAAAGTGGTGGATGTGCATAGAACAGGAGCCAAGTGTGTTCCTGGAGAAACTGGAGACTTGAGAAGGCCAGGTGTTGCCTACCACCAGGTGGGGCTGCTTCGAGTTAAGCCCGGCAGGGGAGACAGGACATGCTCCATGTCCTGCAGTGACAAGATGGCAAGGTGGAATGTCCTTGGATGCCAGGGTGCACTGCTGATGCACTTCCTGGAAGAACCCATCTACCTGTCAGCTGTGGTCATTGGGAAGTGCCCATACAGCCCAGAAGCCATGAGGAGAGCATTGACTGGCAGGTGAGAGGCAGTGGGGAGGGCAGGAGAAGGTTTACAGGGAACCAAAGGAGTCTCTAACCCTGGACTTGGCAGTTATACATCTTGGCATTTTTTTTCCCTAAAGAAATAATTAAGAAAGTATAAGTCTCAGGTTTAGTAAATACAGTAACTAACGAGAAAGGAAACCAGAAAAGCTCTGCAGTTGGAAATTAAGTGATTTCTTTTGTTAAAAATAGTACTGATGAATATTTAATGTTTAAAGATGTGTGTGATGTTTAAAGAGCAATTTAGAAGATGAAGTGAGCTCCATTTTGGTCTTAAAATATGTATGTGCACAGAAAGCTGTAGGAGGCTGTGTATCGATAATTATCTCTGAGTCATGGTGTTGTGGGCTGTTTTTCCTCTTTGTTAATGCTGTACATTATCGTTTTTCTACTTTGTACTTCTACAGTAAGCAAAATAATTGCCAGGGCTGGGGAATGTATCTCAGCTGGAAGAGTGCTTACCTAATTTGAATGAAATCCTAGGTTGAATCTTAGCACTGCATAAAACTGGCCATGAAGGCATAGACTTCCAATCTTAGCATTTGGGAGGAGGAAGCAGAAAGATCAGACGTTCAAGGTTACCCTTAGCTCAGTAGGAAGTATGAGGCCAGCCTAGGGTACATAAATCCAGTCTCAAAAAGAAAAACAGCAGGCAAGCAAACAAGAAACAGTATAGTTGCCATTATACTTAAAAAAGCAAAATGAGACTAAATATCTCTGTGACTTTGAGACCAGTCTGGCCTACATAATGAGTTCCAGGACAGCTAGGGTTACAGAGAAACTCTGTCTCAAAAAAACAAAACAAAACAAAACCCCAAATATTAGTTTTAATTCCAATACTCTGGAAGCTGAAAGAGGGCTCTGAGTTCAAGGCCAGTCTGGGCTTCATAGCAAGATTCTAAATCTTGACAAAATAAACAAAGACTCTGTCTCAAAAAAAGATAAACAAGGATGGCTGTGCACATGACCACTCTGGTGTGTGCTATAGTAAATGAGGGCTAGAGAGATATTATGGAGACATAAAAACCTGGGAAGCAGATTCCAAAAGTGGCACCCCAGACAGCACCTAGTGTTCCCACCCCTAGGCAGGCACCTAAGAGAAGTGAAAATGTACATTCCCACGAAAACATACACACAGATGTTTATAGGCAGCATGCTGGAAATAGCCCCAAACAGAAGCAGCCCAAATGCTTATCAATTGATACATGAGTAAGATGCACTGTATCTGTGGGTGTGACCGTGAAGGTCTTTATTCTCAGCACTTGGGAGTCAGACGTAGTTGCATCTGTGTGAGCTTCAAGGCCAGCCTGATCTACAAAGTGAGTTCCAGAGTTCCATATCAGCCAGGACTGTTCCACAGAGAAACCTAGTCTCCAAAAAAAAAAAAAAAAGGAAGGAAGAGTAATGAATATATTCCAACAAATAATGTTCATTGTTAGAAAGGATTGGGGTACCAACCATGGTGTTACTCAGCCTGTAATACCAACACTTGGATAGTAGGATCAGAAATTACATTAAGGTGAAGGCTTAAAATCCAGTCAAAAAGAAAAAAACTGGTGTGCTGGGGGGAAACAAAGACTAATATGCTGACACATGCCACAGTGTGAGTGAACCATTAAAAACCATGGTAAGTGAAATAAGCCATGCATGTTTGATGTGAAATAACCACAAAAGGCAAGTACACAGAGATCTGTGGTGGGAATGGAGAGTAGTAGAGGCTGCTAATGATTATAAAGCTTCTGAGATTGGAAGTTCCTATCTGTGCTGTGGATTTGTATCATATGGACACCTGGCTTGTTCAGGGGAGAGGGGTGATTTTAGTTTGGGGTATGCGTGAAGGATTTCTTAGGAAGCCTATGTGAAGGAGGGAAAGTTTACGTTTCTCGAGTGAAGAATGAAGTTTTGAGATTTCTGACACCACTGGTGGGGATTAACTCAGTTTTTAGTTATACCTTCAGACCTAGTAAAATGGGATCTTTTTCAAGCCATAGAATTCCTGCTAGGGTTGGGGATATAGCTCAGTTGGGAGTAACTGCTTGCTAGCAGGCATAAGGCTCTCTGTTTGATCCCCAGCACCTCATAAAGCATGGTGGGGTATAGTGTACACCTGTATTCCCAGCACTTGGGAGGTAGAGGTAGGGGGGGATCAGAATTTCAAGGTCATCCTCTGCTGTATTTCAGGGTTAGGGCCACACCAGGTTAACTGGGACCCTGTCTCAAATAAATACATAGTAAAGGTAAAGGTCCCCTGTGTGGTATCCTGACAGTCTTCACTCCCCACTTCAGTAAGTACACATGTAGATTCACTTGGCTCCTAGGGCCTTTGTCTCTTTGTTCTCTTCTCCAGGTACATCTGAACTGAATGCATTTCCCCCATGTTTAGGTGTCAGGAGGTCTTGGCTTTACCCAGAGGCTTTAAAGTTCCTGAACTGAAAATAGAGCAGTCGGGTTTGCTGTTTGAACAAAGCCGCTGTGCAGTGCAGAGAGCTGGCACACCAGGCCGGCTCGTTCCTTGTGGGGCAGGTAAGGGGTTCAGGTTGGTTTATCCTAGAGTAACTTCTTTAATAGACTGTCTTAGGAGGACAGTGCTTGGAAGACACCCACCCACATAAGGGTAGGTGTATGCCCTGTGAGATCTTGGCCAGGTTAGTTACCTTCTTTATTTTCAAAGCCTTCTTTATTTTCAAATTACAAGAATATTGCTTGTCATGGCTATTATGAGAATTAAGAAATTATATTTATACTTTTATTCTATGTCTAGCATGTAATAAATTTTCAATGAAATTGTAAGCTAGGAGCTGGTGAGATGGCTTAGCAGGTAAAGGCACACTTGCCAACAAACCTTATAACTCGAGTTTGATTCCTGGGATCCACATAGTGCAAGCAAAGAACCTAACTCCCCTTAGGTTGTCCTCTGACTCCCACATATGCACCATGACATACATGTGCCTGTCCCAATAAATGAGTATAATAAAACATCAAATTGTAAGCTAAATCATCATCATCATCATCATGAACCACTGAGTGGTCATGCATGTCATTAGTCCCAACACTCGGGAGGCAAAGGCAGGAGAATCTCTTGAGTTCAAGGCCAGCCTGGTCTACAGAGCCAGGTCCAAGACAGACAAAGCTACACAAAGAAACCCTGTCTCAGAAAAAAAGTCACAAGCCAGTTGATAACCATTGAATCCTGAGGAACTAAGCATCAGACCCAACTTGTTTTAATGTCATATCCAACTTTCATGGTGCTGTAGAGTCAGAGAGATGTTTTTGTGAAAGTGTTGTAACATTTATGAGAAAATAAACAGGTGTTTATTTTTTTCTTTTGACACCAGCTCTCCCCAGACACTCCCAACATGTCACCCTCCCTCTTTCATGTATGTGTTTATGTGTGTGTTCTCTTTCTCTCATTGGTTTGGCTTGGTTGGGTTTGTTGTTTGTTTGTTTGTTTGTTTTTCTTATTGTTGTGTAGCCTTCTGAGTCCAATTAGTGCTGTCTGTTGAATGTTGACTCATCTTAGCTGGATGGTTTCCAGGTAACCATAGCTACAGTGAGCTCCTGAGTGCAGCAGCCATCAGAGGTCCAGAGAACAACATCTCACAGCTCCCCTCCCCTTCCTCCAGCTCTCGTTCATTCTACCTCTTCTGTGATGTTCCCTGAGCCTTTGGGGTGGGGATTGATACAACTGTCCCATTGAGGGATGAGCACCCTGTAGATACTTACTCTCAACACGGTGACCAGTTAGGAGTCTGTACTAATTGTTGCCTGCTGCAGAAAGAAAATTCTCTGGCCAGGATTGAGGGCAGCGCTGATCTATGAGTAGGGAGCGTTTTAACCCCAGGATTCCTCTCTTCATAGCTATCAGCTGGAGTGCTGTTCCTGAGCATCCTTTGGATGTGACTGCCAATGGCTTTCCACAGGGAACAACAAAGAAAGACATCGGGAGCCCTTGGGCCAGGTACAGCTTAATGGGGCTGGGGAGATGGTATCTATGAACTCAATCCTTCCTGTCCAATTCTGAGACTTCTCCATTTCCCCCAAAAGGAAACTGCCTGCTCCTCCTCTCTAGCCTTTGGAAATCCCTCATTTGCTTTATTACTTCCTCCATATATTTCTGTCTTCTGGACATTTGGTATAAATGAAATCATTTACTGCGTGCTCCTTTGTGCCTGCTTCATCCACTAACATGCCTCCATAGTTCACTTAGCCGAAAAGACACTGAGCTTCTCCTGCCTGGTCACTTCCTCTCTCTGCCGAGTCATCTCACCTCCATCCTACATGGTTAACTAGTGTCTAGCTCTGCCCTCTGATCTCCAGGCAAGCTTTATTTGTTATAGTATAAACAAGATATCACTACAGTGTGATTGGTACCTCCTTCATGTGTGGCTAAGTAGTATCTACCATATAGCTATGCCTTATTTGGCTTACCGTCTCATCAGTAATGGCCTTGGGGGATGTTTTGCTTTGGGCTATTATGAATAGTGCTGGTGTGCCTGTTTTTGTATCCTTTAATCTCTCTTAGGAATGTACATACAAGTGGAATTGCCTGAGCATGTGGTAACTGTATAGACAGCTGTTTAGGAATGAGAGACCCATTTTCCTAGCATCTCTGCCATGGACAGGTCCCAGGAGCACTGCCTTGCATCCTGTCTGACATTTGTGATGATGGTCTGTTAGGCATGAAGTGCTCTCTCCTTGTTTTACTCTGCGTCTCTCCAATGACTAAATAATATGGGCATCTTGCTATGTGCTTACTAGCCATTTGTGGATCTTTGGAGAAATATTTTTTCTCATTCCTTGCCATTTTATTTTTGTTTGTCAATATTTTTCAATTACATTTATGTATTAGGTCAGAAGACATTTTGTGGGAGATTTAATTCTCTACTTCCTCCATGTGGGTCCCAAGGACCAAACTCAGGTCTGTATGGACCAGGCTGGCCTTGAACTCACAGAGATCCAATCCACCTAGATATGTGCCCACCATACGCAGCCCTTTTTACTTTTTTTTTTTTTTTTTTAAGATTTTGTTCATTTTATTTTATGTGTATAGGTGTTTTTCCTGTATGTATATCTATGTACTGTGTGTGTGTGTTCAGAGCTCCCAGAAACCAGAAAAGGGTGCCAGAGTTTATGGAACTAGAGTTACAGTTGTGAACTATCTTGTGGGTGCTGGGTATTGAACCTGAATTCTTTGAAAGATCAGCCAGTATTCTTAACCACTAAGCCATCTCTCCAGGTCCCTTTTTTTACTTTTGATGGTGCCCTTTAAAGCACAAAAGTTTTGAATTTTAAAGAAGTCAAAACTTGGTTGTACTTTTGGTATCTTATCTAAGGAATCTTATGTAATTTGGTTACAAAATGTACTGTTTTGTTTTGTTTCCAGCCATCTTTTGTACTTGTGAGAAGACCTGCAGTCAGGCTGAGAGAAGGATGTGTGAGCAGAGCAGGTCATGGGAGATCAGGTGTTCAGATTTCCTGCTGCAGTCTGGCTCCTTTGGGAGTGACAGACTCAGGCTCCTCATCTATCCCCACTCAGCTGACTGAGGCTTCTGCTTGCTGCTTTGCTCAGAATGGGGTGGGGTATTCTTTGCTCAGAGTCTTTACCCTCATACTTTAAAATCCCAGCTCAACTCCCAGTTCCTCCTGAATCAAAAGCATCATTTCTCTCTAGATTCCTGTCACAGTATGTCTGTTCCCTGTGTGACCCCCAGTGCCTCAGGTTCTAACCCTGGCTCCAATTGCCTGTATGAGTTGGGGGCAAAGCCAGCTGCTGTGTAGGCTGCAGTGTACTTTTCCCAGTAAAGTGAGGGTTTATGGATAAACAGGGTCTTAGTTAACATTTCTACTGCTCTGACAAAGCACTGTGACCAAGGCGACTTAGAGAAGGAAGCATTTAACGGATGCTTACAGTCCATGGCCACCTTAGCGGGGAGCATGGCAGCAGGCAGGCTGAGAGCTTATATCTTTATCTGTAAGTAGGAGGCAGAGAAGTGTGAGGGGTTGAATATGGATATGAATTAAAAGGAGACTGCAGGGTGGCAGAGGCTTGGGGATTAAAGGGGTCAATTTATATCCTGGCACTGTTTCTCCCAACTGTACCTGAGAAAATAGCTCAACTTCTCTTATTTGAAGTTATTTGCTAACTGTAAAGCAAGGTTAACCAATGTGAGAATTGAGAAAGGTAGATATAGCTTGAGGTGGCATCCTGCTAAAATTGATTTCTCTTTTAATCATCTAGTGATCTTTGTAATGTTATTGTATATAGAAACTAGAGCTCACTTCATACTAAGACTATCAGCTGCTAGGAGAGGCATACTCCTCACTGCTCATCCCTTAGTGGGTGCATTGTGAGGCCACCTCTGGGAAACTCTGGGGATCTCAGATGGTGTTATGAAAGACGCCAGAAGAGTATGTTTGCAAACACTGGGATAATAACAGGAATCACATAAAAGATGCTCATTTAAAGAAGCTTGGGTTTTTTTGGGCTGGAGAGATGGCTCAGGGGTTAAGAGTACTGATTGCTCTTCCAGAGGTCCTGAGTTCAATTCCCAGCAACCACATGGTGGCTCACAACCATTTGTAATGAGATCTGGTGCCCTCTTCTGGTGTGTAAGCATACATCCAGGCAGAACACAACATACATAATACTAAAGCTTAAAAAAAAAAAAAAAAAAAAAAGAAGAAGCTTAATTTTTTTTTTTAACTCCACTTCATAAAGGCTAATTCTCTTTATCCTAAAGAGAAAAAAAAAATCCTCTGTGTCAGTTGACATCCTAGAATATCCTGGAAAGATCATGAAACAGCTCACTGAATTGAAAAGAAAATGATAAATAGAGGACTTTGTTTGTTTTTACTCATATGTGTGCTATATGAGTCTGTACATTTGAGTGAAGATGTCCACAGAAGCCAGAAGAGGGTATTGGATCCCTTGGAGGTTGAGTCACAGTTGTAAATACCATGTACAGGTCCTAGGAACCAAACTCAGGTCCTCTACAAGCACCTTTCCAACTGAGCGATCTCACCAACCCAGTGAGAGAATTTTTGTTTTGTTTAGCTTTGTTTTTGAGACAGGGTTTCTCTGTGTACCACCATACCAAGCTAGGTATTTTTTAAATAGTGTTTTTATTCTTTGAGAATTTCATACAATATATTTTGATCAAATTATTCCCCCTCCCCCAATTCCCAGGTGAAGGATTTTTTAAAAGAAATCTAAAATAAACAAATCTAAAAGCTCCTGTGCTTTGTTTTGTAGTAATCAGCAGTGCTAGCCAGCTCACAAGGAAGGGCTTAAATCTTAGCATGTGGTTCTCTCTGCTAAAAGGACCCAGGTCTCTTGGGAAGCAGGAGCTAGCAGCCACCACCTAGAAGATTCTTAGACTCCTCAGATAATTCAGTAGTTTCTAGTGTGTATGGCTCTCCCTAATAGAGACATTACACATGTGGCTACTGTATTCTGGTATGGAATAAGACTTAAGAAAACACACACTTTGCCAGGTGGTGATGGCTCACACCTTTAATCCCAGCACTTGGAAGACAGAAGAGGTAGATCTCTTAGAGTTCAAGGCCAGCCTTGTCTATAGAGTGAGTTCCAGGACAGCCAGGACCACACAATGAAATCCTATCTCAAAAAAGCAAAAGAAAAATTATAGAAAGAAAGACTTACTTCACTGGAGCAAGTTCCCAAACAGGTTTATTTTCAAACTATATACATGCTAGCAATCAATCTACCACTGAGCTATACTCCCAGACTCTAATTTCCTTTATAGGCATAACTCACTTTTTTGAAGTATGGAGGGGGCTGCTGATATAGCTCAGACAGGCTTTGCTCTGGATCCTGTCTCAGCACCTAAGTGCTGAGAATGTGCTCACATCTCACCATTACTGAAGACTTAAGTGGAAAAACATTCGAAGTTCCTGTTGGTTCTCCAGAGGACAGACTATTGAGAATCTTTATAGGTGTGTTCCCAAGAGGATATAGACTCTCCCTCTGCACCAGCCTTGCCTAGTAAATAGATCCTAGTAAGCCTCCTTCCAATGAATGAGGTGACATGTTGAGCCTAGATGTGGATCCAGGTGGTAGAGTATGACATGATAGGGGTTTCTTATTGTTGTGAATGAAATGTCCCAGTATACTTCATTAAGACTCAGTAGCAAACCAGACTTGGTAGTGCATGCTTTTAGTCCCAAAACTCAGGAGGCAGAAGCAGACAAATATTTGTCAGGCAGAAGTCTTGACTGAGATTATTTTGTTAGTAAATACATATAGCCAAATGATAAAATCATATTTACAATAAAATTACTAAGTATAGGAAAAGTTAACATTTTTGTTGCCTTTGGTGCCAACCCTTTGTGTATGTTCTCTCTAATGTTTAAGAGGTGACTTTGTTCTTGAGTATTAATTTTCTGAGTGGTAATTAATTAACCTGGGCTTGACTAACACCATCACATGAACTGTGCTGTTATTTAGTTATATAACTTGTTTCAGTTCTAGGAGACTGTCTCAGCTGCAAGGTCTCAGTGGAAGTTTTAGCTGTTGATGCTTAGATTCTGCCAGGCCACTTTATTCAGGTGGAAGAAATAAACTTTTTGAGCTCCAGGAGGTTTGGAGTACTCCATTCTAGTACACCTGCAATCACCTGGCACTTAATTATGTATGAAACTCCTGTTTGCAGTATCGACTTCCTGCCAGACAAACTGTATATTTTTTTTTTTTTTTTTTTTTTTTTTTTTTTTTGGAGACAGAGTTTTTCTAGCTCTGTAGACCAGGCTGGCCTGGAACTCATAGAAATCCACCTGCCTCTGTCTCCCAGGTACTAGAATTGAAGGCTGTGCCACCACCACCCTACCCCACTTTGTATTCATTATGGCAATGTAAGTTACTGATTTTCGGAAGTCTACATGCTCTAAGTGGGATTTTTTTTTGGGGGGGGGCAGCAAAACAAGGTTTCTCTGTGGTAGCCCTGGCTGTCCTAGAACTCATTCTGTATATCAAGCGGCCTCTACCTCCGAAGTTCTGGAATTAAAGGAGTGGGCCACCACTGCCCAGCCAAGCAGGATATTTGTGTCAAAGCTAGGAATCACACTTACAGTTACACACACACACACCCCTATTCTATTCTCTTCTGTTGTCCTGTTTATTCCTATAGCGAAACCATACTCTATGCTTTTTTAGATTTTAGATAGGGTCTCTCCCTCTCCCAACCCCTTCTCTCTCCCTGTCCTAGATCATCTTTGAATGCACAGTCCTGACTCAAAAAACACATTCAACTCTAGCTTTAAATAAGATGATATCTGTCAGAAAAAGTCCCCATGGCATGTCCTTCAAGAGTCTTGTCTTGGCCATTCTTGAATCTTTTTAAATGTAAAGATCAATTGAGAAAAATAGAATCTTTTAGCATTGTCTTCCAGACCAGGAACATGGAAGCCAGCTATGCTAACCACTATACCATTACCACGACAGGAACATGGACAGCATATAACACTCCTGCCAGATTTGACAGAGAGACAGGGTTTCTGTGTATAGCTCTGGCTGTCCTGGAACTTGCTCTATAGACCAAGCTGGCCTTGAATTCACAGAGATCCGCCTGCCTCTGCCACCCCAGTGCTGGGATTAAAGGTGTGCTCCACTACCACACGACTGTTTAGAACTTCTTTAAGTTTTTTATTATTTATTTATTTATTTTTGTGGCTGTGCATTTATCTAATTTATGTACTTATAAACACTCATGCCACAGCATTTGTGGATTTTTGTTTCTTTGTTTGTTTTTTGAGACAGGGTTTCTGTGTAGCTTTGGAGATTGTCCTGGAACTCACTCTGTAGACCAGGCTGGCATCGGATTCACAGAGATCCACCTGCCTCTGCCTCCCAAGTGCTGGGACTAAAGGCATACGACACTAACCAGCCAGAGGACAGCTTTTGAAAGTTGGTTCTCTGCTACCATATAGGTCCCATGGATGAAATTCAGGTTGTCATGGCTTCATGACTGAGTCATCAAACCAACCCAAAACTTAGTTCTCTTCTTTTAAGATTTATTTTTATTGTATGTGTGTTTTATTTTATGAGTGTTTTGCCTGAGTGTATGTGTACCACACGCGTGCCATATCCACAGAGGCCAGAAGAGGACATTGTATCCCCTAAAACTGAACTTACAGACAATTGTGAGCCCAGATCCTCAGGAAGAGTAGCACATACTCTTAACCACTGAGCCAGTCTAAGGTTTATTTTTTATTTTTAATTATTTGTATATGTGTGTGTGTGTGTGTGTGTGTGTGTGTGTGTGTGTGTGTGTGTTTCTGTTTGTGAGTATGTGCATGTGAGTGCAGGTGCCTGCAGAGACCAGAAGAGCATGGCAGATCCCCGGAGCTAGAGTAACAAGGCAGTTGTGAGCCACCTAATTTGGATGCTGGGAACCAAACTCAGGTTCTCTGCAAGAGCAGCAAGTGTGCCTAACCATTGAGCCATCTGCCTAGCCCCTGTTTTTTCTGTTTTCCTTTCTGTTTTTTTTTCTAGCAGTACTAGAGATGAAACCTAGAACTTAATACAAGGTAAATGCTCTAACCCTGAGCAATAGCCCAGCCCTCAATAATCCTTTATAATTTCATTTTATTATTTTAAATTATTTTTATTTTTTATAATTCTCTTATATACATCTTTCACATCCCCATTAGATTTATTCTATGAAAGTACATTGTTATCTGTTAATGTTTAACAAAGTATCTACAAAATAGCAGCTTTAAATAACAATAAACCTTATTCTTCAGAGTTTCTGCTAATTTGGTATAAAAAAATGAATTTAATAGGCGATTGTACCTTGGGATTTGAGAGGTCAATAATTACGTCATCTGGGGTTGCAGTCCCCTGAAAGCTTGAATGGGGTGGGAGGATTTAATTCTAAAAATGCTAAGTCATGTGGCTAACAGGTCAGTGTCACCTGCCAGCAGTCACAATACAGATCTCTCTAGAGAGGCGAGGTGTGGTGACCTATGCCTGTAATCTTAACACTTGGGAAACTGAGGCAGGAGGCTCATGATTCAGGACCAGCCTGGGCAATATAGCAAGACATTTTGTTGGAGGTTGTGGGGGGCAGAGAGGGAAGAGGAAGAAAGGAGAGGAGAGACTCATGAGACATTTCAAGGTCAGTCTGCATTGCTTCTTGATGACTACAAAGGGATGGGGCATCTGGCACACCTGAGCACTGTGATGAGGCCTGCCTGGTGTCTCTGGTGGAGGCCTGGCACCTAGTTATTAGTCGGTGATATTTTCTTTCTTTTTCTGAACAGGTCCCGAATCAGCAAGGTAGAACTCTTCAGATCATTCCAGAAGCTGCTGAGCAGCATTGCAGAAGACAAGCAGCCAGACTCTGTCAGGTGACACTGTCCATCCCTCTGTCCTCGTGTCTGTAAAGACTTCTGCTCTGGTTCTGGCTTGTGCATGGTGAGATGTCTGGCAGGTGACTCATCCACTCAGCAAGCCAATGAGCGCTTACTACTTACAGAGAATGGGAACTTGTAGGTTTGTGTCAGAGTCTTACCTGGGTTATAAAGGAGAGGCTATTGTTGCAGTAAACACAAAGGGGTATGAGGAAGGTTTGGTTTTAGCTTTACCTACTCATTTATTTACTTATTTCGAGATAGAATCTCACTGCCCAGGTTGGCCTGAAACTGAAACTCATTATACAGGACAGCTTAAGCTCAAAGTACAGCAATTCTCCTGCTTCAGCCTCCCAAATGCTAGGATTACAGGCCTGATTTTTTTCCCCCATTTTTTCATTTAACTGATTGGCTGACTTTATGATGCTGGCAATGGGATCCAGGGCCTCTGTCGGGAAGCTACACATGTTTTCCAGGAGCACAGGACTCAAATAGTTTAAAATATCAAGTTCATGGATCCTGCCTCTTTACTAACAATAAATAAATAAATAGATAGATAGATAGATAGATAGATAGATAGATAAATAAATAAAACAAATCAGTATTTACTGCAAGAAACATTGTCTCTTATACAGCCAGCACCACTCTTGCAAACTCATGTGAACATGCACGCATACATGCGTGCACATGCACACACACACACACACACACTCAAACATAATAAAAATATGGGCTGGAGAGATTGTTCAGAGGCTAAGAGCACTGGCTACTCTTAATGAGGACCCAGGTTCAACTCCCAGCACCTACATGGTGGCTCAACCATCTATAACTGCAATCCCAGGGGATCTGACACTCTTCAGGCCTCCACGGGTACTGCATACACATAACACACATGCAAGATAAATGACCTTACACACACAAGAATTAATAATAATAAAGATAAGAAATGAAAATGAAAACAGGATAAAATTGAATTAGTGAGAAGTCTCTGTATTGTTATTTTTCTTGTTATAATAAAAAAAAAAAGGACTGGTAAATACAGCTTAAGGGAGAATGTATTTTGGTTCACAGTTGGAAGGCGCAGTCCATAGCGGCAGGAAAATGAAGTAGCTGCTTACATTGCATCCAAAATTAGGAAGCAGAGAGAGGAACACTGGTGGCCAGCGCAGCTTTTCCTTTTTGTTCAGTCTGGGCCAAGCCCATGTATGCCACTGTCCACATTCAGGGTGGGTCTTCCCACCGCAGTCAAACCTTCCTGGAAAACATCCTCATATGAACATGCCCAGAAGTCGGTTTCCCTGGTGATTCTAACTTTAACTCCAGTCTAGTTGACAGTGAAGATTAATCATCACAGTCTTGATTTATTTGATGGTAAGAATAGTAACATTAGCCATGTCACAAAACCTCTAAGAAGAATACAAGTAAAAATATTGCATGTAAAAGTGCTTAGCTCAGGCGTGGTTTACACTTGGTTTTGATAACCAGTAACTACTTTTATTTGATAAAAATCTATGAGGGGTGGAGCTGAAGAGATGGCTCAGTGGATAAGAGCACTTAGGTCCTAATACCCATGTCAGATGGCTCACTCCCTTTCTAGGGAATATAACACCCTCTTCTGGACCCTATGAGCAGAGGCACACATGCTGCACAGACATGCTTGCAGGCAAAACACTCATGCATAAAATAAAAGTTTTAATTTAAATGTTTTATTCTGTGAATGAGATATATATGCAACACAAGTATTTAAGGAAGAACTTTTTCAGTTCTGAGGACCAAACCAGGGGTTCCTGTAAACTAAGCAAGCACCCTACTGCACGAGCTACATCCCCAGCCCACAGCAAAGAATTGGATTCAGTATTAAAGTTGATTGAAGGACAAGGGCAGGGAGCTTTTCTTAAACTTACTCAGGAGATTCTAGTTGAAACTGGACTTAGAGAGCTAGGGCAGAAATCAAGGTCAAGTCAAGAGGAGGACTCAAGAGAACTCTGACCCATATTTTAGTCCTAGTCCTTAACCAAAGATAATCTCCTAAGAATTACTGTAGTTTAGCTGGGCAGTGGTGGTGCAGGCCTTTAGTCCCAGCACTTGGGAGACACAGGCAGGTGGATCTCTATGAGTCGGAGGCCACCCTTCTCTACAAATCAAGTTTGGGACAGGCTGCAAAGCTACAGAGAAACTTTGTGTTGAAAGTGGCCCCCCAAAAAGAATAACTGTAGGGTTTTTTGTTGTTGTTGTTGTTGTTGTTTGTTTTGTTTTTTTTAACTGTTTGGCTTTTGGGGACCTGCCACCCAGCTCCCAAATAAATACATGGAGGCTTATTCTTTCTTATAAATGCCTGGCCTTAGTTTGGCTTCTTATTAGCTTATTATGTATAGTGTTCTGCCTGCATGTATGCCTGCAGGCCAGAAGAGGGCACCAGATCTCATTATAGATGGTTGTGAGCCACCATGTGATTGCTGAGAATTGAACTCAGCACCTCTGGAAGAGCAGTCAGGGCTCTTAACCTCTGAGTTGTCTCTTCAACCCCTAGGTTGGCTTATTTCTATCCCATTTTTCTTAACTTAAAGTATCTCTTCTACCTTTTGCCTCTGTGCTTTTGTCTTTCTCTATCCTATATACCTTTGTTTATTTCTTACTCCAGGACTTGCTGTGTAATTGTGTGGCCAACCCCTAGTGTCCTCTCTCCTTTTATCCATCCTCAATCTTCTCTTTTTCTCCTTCTATTTATTCTCTCTTCCTGGAAGCCCTGTCTATCCTTTCCTTTCTCCTGCCTAGCTATTGACTATTCAGTTCTTTATTAGAACAGTCCAGTGTTTTAGACAGGCAAAGCAACAGAGCTTCACAGAGTTAAACAAATGCAACATAAAAGAATACAACACATCATTAAATAAATATTCCACAGCATAAGTGAATGTAACACACCGTAAAATAATATTCCACAACCAATTACAACTAGTCAGAGTGCCGGGCATTTTTCAGCAGTCAGGCTAAAGGGTGTGGATTTGCAGCATATAGTAGGAGAATGTGGATATTACATAATGTTTTTCTGTTTGTTTGTACTTTGGTTTTTCAAGACAGGATTTCTCTGTGTAATAGCCCAGGCTGTGCTGGAAGTCAGTATGTAGACCAGGCTGACCTTGAATTCACTGAAATCTGCCTGCCTCTGCCTACCAAGTGCTGGGATTAAAGGTGAGCACCAGCACTGCCTGGCACATAATGTTCTATAAGAAACAGTGCCAACAAGGTTCTTAATCTCTAGATCCTTTGGTGAAAACTTTAAGTCAGGACTAGGGTAGAGAGCTCAGTGATAGTAGGAGGAGACTGTCTGGCATATATGAACCCATGTATGATCCCCAATACCACAAAGAAAACTTTTATCTGATTGTACAGGAGCCATACAAAACTAGTATTCTGTGATTCCAACCTGCTTAAGCATGTAGTGCTTTAACATGCATTCCCTATAGAGGGGAACAGAGAGCTCCTCTGCTCCTGCTCTGCTGTTTGAATCTTCCCAGCTGCTCTAAGGGTGAGCGAGAGCAAGCACTCCAATGAGAACTGTGCTTGATGACATGTGTGCATTAGGGTGCAGAAGCTGGACACCTACCAGGAGTACAAGGAGGCTGCGTCTGCCTACCAGGAAGCCTGGAGCGCACTCCGAAGGAAACCACCATTTGCATCCTGGATCAGAAACCCACCCTACTACCACCAATTTAAATGAACTCTTGCTGCTACCAGGATCCTTCATATTGATCTGCCTTTTCTCAGAATGCTGCATGTCTTCAGTGTCATATAATGGAACCCAGAACCTCATCAATCTGTACTTGATTGGAATTGCTAGCTCCTTGCTAAAATGGTCTCTCAATGATGACCTTGGTATTTGCCTTGAGTTATGTTTTATTGGTTTTCTAAAATACAACATCAGGTATGATGCTTTTTAAAGCAATCTGCAGCAGCTCTGATTAGGCAAGTGTACATTGGATGGAAATTGTATTAGAGTGTCTAGATACTTCGGAGCTCCTGGAGTAGTGAACATGTATTTCATATTTCCAGCCTGCCTTTGGGAACCACCATTTCCCAGTTCTCTACAATCAGATGTGGTTGAAGTCAACTTCACTCTCAGGCTCAGCACAGGACTAGCCTCGGGAAGCTCTGTTCTCAGACCTGCCAAGAAAGGTTGGTTTGTTGTTTGAGACAGAGTCTCACTTTGTAGCCTGTGTTATCCTTGACTTTCAGTCCTGCATCAGCCTTCCAAGTGCCAAGATGATAGGCATAAGCCACCATCATAACTAGCCCAAAATATTCTCATTCTTTCCCTCCCTCTCTCCCTCTCCTTCCTACCTCTCTTCTTGAGACAGGATCCTTGAACTCACTATGCAGCTAAGGATGACCTTGAACTCTGACTTCCTGCCTCTGCCTCCAAGTGTAACACCATACTTTGCTTCCAGGAATCTCTTCTGATCAGGGTTATAGGGTCATTATAATCTTGAACTGCCAGTAGTTGCCATCTTTTCCTACCACATAGAGACAGCCAGCTGAGAATGAAGGCAACCATTGCTGTTTGACCAAGTTCCAGCATTTCAACATTGCAGACCACACTTCTCCAGCACCTTATTACTTTCATGTTTAATGATTCTCAATATCAATGCCTTTCCCTTTGGGAAATTTTGTTCGGTCTTTGGTAAAGAATAAAAATGTGTACAATGGTAGCCTCTCTAAACACAATAATTCTTTGGAAAAAATTCCCGCCACAGTGGATTTCCATTGTTCCCTCCTAATTAACCTAGAACAGAGTTAGAGATTTACTAGACACACCTGTAGACACACTTGATCCCAAGGATGAGACGCCTGAAACTCAAATCCAGAGGCTGAGGCCATTAAGGACAAGAGTTCAATTAATAAATATAGAGAAATCAGGATGGTACTTTATAATGGGAAAATAGTAAGACATCAGGACCTTCCCTTTTGGAAACGTGTAAGAGGAACAGGCCCACATAGTATGACTAAGAAATTGTATAGGGGCTGGACAGATGGCTCAGAGGTTAGGAACACGACTACTCTTCCAGAGGTCCTGAGTTCAATTCCCAGCACCCACATGGTGGCTCACAACCATCTGTAATGAGATCTGGAGCCCTCTTCTGGACATGCAGGAGGAACTATGTGTACACAATAAATAAAATAAATCTTTAAAAAAAAAAAAAGTAAAGAAAAGAAATAGTATAAGCCAGGTGGTGGTGGTACATGCCCTTAGTCCCATCGCTCAGGAAGCAGAGACAGGCAAATTGCTAACTTTGAAGCCAGCATGGTTTACAAAGTGAGTTCTAGGATAGTCAGGGCTGTTACACAAAGAAACCCTGTCTCAAAAAATAAAAGAAATTGTGGTATAGTGTCTGCTCCCCAGAAGTCCTTTTCCCAAGGTCAGGCATTTGGATAAGGGTTTGCATTCCTTTGGGAGCTTGAGGAAAGTTCCTGCTTGATAAAGCAGTCCTTCTTATCTCTAGCAAGAGGAATTTGTGGCCCTTCCAGTAAGATGTGACTGGTGCCTATCATCAAGGTCAATGCTAGATTCCTCAAGGCACATTCCAGCTCATAGTATAAAAGGTATAGTCTTTTTTTTTTTTTTTTTTTTTTTTTTTCAATTAAACACTGCTGGTAGCCATCCTGATTCACCTTTAGTCCTTCAGATCAAGTTTTTCTTCTCTTCCCTGCCACTCCATACACACAAACACACACACCACACACACACTGCAGGCAGCAAAGGAGAAAATGGCTAAAACAGCCAGAAGCTCTAGTATCCAACCTGCACCCAAACTCAAATATGAGACAGGTGCCCGCTTTATTTTGTCTGTAACTTATTGATGGGGGCCTACACATGTCACAGTGTATGTGTGGTGGTGCACCTTTGAGACACAGTTTCTCTGTGGCTTTGGAAGCTGTCCTGGAACTAGCTCTTGTAAACCAGGCTGGCCTCGAACTCACGGAGATCTGCCTGCCTCTGGTGCTGGGATTAAAAGCAGGGTTATTTTCTTTTTAATTTAGTTCCAGAATGCCTTAAATTCCTACAGTAAATCAGCAACATACCTAGCAGCTAGTCCTATTTTAACTGTCATCAAAGGGAGCTCTCAGTTTATTCCCACCTTGAAGAACTGGCTATAAATAGCTCTCCTCTTTGTTACCCAAGGTCACTACTTTTTATAGCTTTTGCTTGTTTGTTTTGCTTTATCTTTTTGAGACTGGATTTTTCTGTGGAGCCCTGGAACTTACTGTGTAGACCATGCCGACCTAGAACTCAGATATCTACCTGCCTCTGCCTCCCAAGTGCTGGGATTGAAGGCATGTGCCTCCACTGTCTGGCTTTTTTTTTTTTTTTTTTTTTTTTTTTGGTAAGATTTTACTTATTTTTATGTATGTAATGAGCCACCATGTGGTTGCTGGGAATAAATGAATTAAACTCAGGACCTCTGGAAGAGCAGCCAGGGCTCTTAACCAGTAAGCCATCTCTCCAGCTACCCAGCCTGGTCTAGAGTTCCAGGACAAGTTCCAAAAGCTACAGAGAAATGTGGTGTCAAAAAATAAATAAACAAATGAAAGAAAAAGTTAAATATAATCTAATAACCTTAGACACTGGAATGTGGGTAGAAAGTACCAAAGATTAGACAGACAGTAGAGGACACTTTATCTTCACTTGGACCTGTGTCCTCAAGAGCTCAGGGTGCTATTTAAACATCCAACAGCTTACCTTTTTTATGCTCTTAAAACCCAATTTCTAGTATTGGAAGTGCTTGATTGCTTTCAGACTGTGTCTCATGAAACCTAGACTTCCCTTGAACTCCTTCTCTTCCTAAAATCCCAAGCCAGAAACCTGGGCTCCCCATATAATTATCCCTCTCCTTGTCTGTCCCCAGACACCAGCAACATTCTCTGGTCTGAGCCTTTCACCGATCCCATGAACACCTAGAGCTAAAGTGGCTTCAGATTGTCATTGGACTCGTGTGTCTGTTATGGTCCTCTCCAGACTCTAGTTGCAGCAAGCTGCTTTCTTTGGTGAAGTCAGAGGATATACATTGCCCTCACATTCATGCATGTCCCTGACACACATCCACAGACCTCACTGGGGTTCGCAGATCAACACCAGGGACAGGCCAAGCAGCAGAACAGTGTGCCCTAATCATCAGAGAATCTAGGAAAGGCAGAGGAGCCTAGGCCTTACATGGACTGGGCAAGTTTTTTTTTTTTTTTCAATTTTTTTTGTTTGTTTGTTTTGTTTATCGATAGAAAGCATTTTGTATTTTTAAACACCAAAAGCTCCTCAGAAGTGATGCTGCATAGGAAATGGAGTCATAGCATACCTTAAGCTGCATAGGAAATGGAGTCATAGCATACCCATAATTATGCAAAATTGTGTCTTCATTTTAAAAAAAAAAGTCATCCTAACTTGGCTCTGGAGGAAGATTGCACTTTCACCATTGCCGATTTTTTGTCTGTATTCCTAAGTAGGATCTAATGTTATGACTGTATGTGTGTAAGAGTTATTCGCAGTTTGATTCAGGTACACAGTGTACGTGCTCACTGCTCCAGGACAGGGTTAAATGTCCTGTTTTATCCGGTGCACCAGCGCCAAGCATGAGCTCACTGTCTGAGGAAATGAAACTGCTGTGGGGAAAACGGCTGCCCCCCGCGGCCAGTGCCTTGCTGGAGAAGTGCGGGCCTTGTTTGATTTGCTTGTGTCTGTGGCTGCTGGAAAGCTGTCCCCACCCAGACCTTGACATTTTTGGCCTTAAGACAATGTTCCAAAGCCAGGGTTTCCAGTTTCTAAGCACCAGCTCTCTCTTGGCTAAGTTTTCAAGTACTGATTGCTCCTGTGTGGTGAGAAAGTCCCACAGCAGCACAAAGGTCAGTGAAGTAGGAACTGGCCTCCAAATGGAGATGAGAGAGAGAGAGTGTGTTTGTGTCTGTCTGTCTGTGTGCTAGCGAGGAGTGGTGTGCCATGCCTGATCTTAGAGCCAGGGAGGCAGACCTCTTGGAGAAAGGTGTCCTATATATTTTCTGAATAGAGTTTATTTTATATGTACCTCATTTTGAGGAATCATGGTTGGCCTTGACTTCCTATACATGTGAATCTCTTTAAAACTAATTGTAAAAACAAAAAACTGGGCAGTGGTGGCACATGCCATTAATCCCAGCAGATCAAAGTTGAAAGGCCAGATCCCTGAGTTGAAGGCCAGCCTGCTCTACCAACATTGAAACCCTGTCTCAAAAAACACAAAAAACTGAAACTGTGTGTAGTCAGGCAGGCCAGCCTGTTTCCCTGGAAAGCTCTGAAGTAGATGCCAACCATTTTCCTTTCCTTCTTTCTTCCTTCCTTCCTTTCATTCATTCATTCTTTTTTTAAAATATTTTTGGGGGGTTGTTTGTTTGTTTGTTTGTTTGTTTGAGATAGGGTTTCTTTGTGAAACAGTCCTGGCTGTCCTGGAACTCACTCTGTAGACCAGGCTGGCCTCAAACTCAGAAATCCCCCTCCACAGCCTCCCAAGTGCTAGGACTAAAGGCAGATGCTACAATCACCCAGCTCTAAACCATTTTTCAGTGGTTCTGTAGCCCAAAGGAGAGAGGGAGTTAGTCAGAGGTACTTCAACTGTAGCAAACCTTTGAATTCAGTGTCAGAGGGTAGAACACAGCACTTGGCATGTGCAAGTGGCTAGTTTCAATCTCTAACACTGGGGGAAAAAAAAGAAACCAAAACTATAGCCTCAAAAAAAAAAAAAAAATAGAAAGCAATATAAATCAGAGGGCTGTGCCCAAAGTGGTGGCTTGATAGAGACTCAACAGAACTCTAGAGGGTAGAAATTGGCTGCTTTGACAGTTTGTTTGGTTGGTAACTTTTTGAGTGGAGGTCCAGGCTCCCCTAGGACTCCTGATGCTCCTAATTTTCAAAGTGCTACTACAAATGTGTGTAGTCATGCCTGGCTAACAGTCTGGGTTTTAACTGAAGTATTAAGTACAGGAATGCACATCTTGTGGAAGTTTATTGAGGTCTACAGTTATGTTCTGTGGACTTTTTTAAATGTAATTTTACCTTGATTAGAACATGAAAGGAGAAAGGCTTTATTAGTTACTTTGATAGTGGAATAAACGAGTGTGGCCACTGAAGCAATTTCATCGCAGTTGCCACCTCTGCCATCAACTTCCAGGTGTATGTAGGGAAGGGATTTAACTTGGACTTCTGACCTCCATTCTGTTCTACAAAATAAATGGCAACAATTCGGGTGCTTGTTTTCTTTCAAGTGTAAGGTAGGGTTTCTCATTTTTAAAAACTGTATGTATGTGGTGCTAGGAATTAACTCAGCATCTTGCACATGCTAAGCAAGTCCTCTGAGCTATTCCCCCAGCCCCATTAAAAACAACAACAACAACAAAAATTCTTAATAAGGTCCAGTGTGGTAGCATACACCTTTGATCCGGGCATGAGAAGCAGAGATAGGCAGATAATTTTTGAGTTCAAAGCAAGCCTGGTCCACATAATGAGTTCTAGTACACTAGGACTACATATTGAAACCCTTTCTCAAAATAAATCTTATATATAAAGCCAGAGACATTTTCTTCAGTCTGTTGATATTGTGACATGCATATGGCCTCAGTAAATTAGTGACAGGGGACAGGCACTTGAGAGTGGTGTGGGGGGAAAATCTTTTCCATTAATCTAGCAACC